GACTTACAAGACAACGTTAATGTCGGTCGCTAATACGTAGATTTTGTCCAGAGTACAGCCAACTTTGGTCCTACAATTAGATTTGTAAGCATTGTAATCTGGAACGATCGTTTTAGTGCAAATTATATTGACATTGTGCGAGACATTGTTCTAATCATAGCAATATTTTCATATCAGTGACATAATCTTTAAGTTCCGAATTACCACATTGCAGTATAAGAGTAAAAGGTTCCGTGATAATATTTTTGTACATATCCATGAATGTTTAGTAAGTCGGCAAGCCGTGTTTATAAACATTAAGTTAATTTCCATTATCACCGCCTTTATCTTGTCACGTGATCAGTTTCCATGGAAACCAAATAGTTCAAAACTATCGGCAGTTGATTTTCAACATCTCACCCACAAAATAAGAGTCGTAGTGTACTTTGTTAATTTTTAATTAATTTTTAAAGATTTTTTCTATTTCCCCACTCCTTACGAAATTGGAGCCAGGCATTAATGCACCTGAAGACAAGGTTCCTCACGCTGAGGACAAGGACCGCAAGCTGAGTACAAGGTTCCTCCAGCTGAGGGCAGGGTTCCTCACGCTGAGGACAAGGTACCTCACACTGAGTGCAAGGTACCTCACACTGAGGACAAGGTTCCTCACGCTGAAGACAAGGTTTCTCACGCTGAAGACAAGGTTACTGACGGCGAGGACAAGGTTCCTCACGCTGAGGACAAGGTTCCAAACGCAGAGGGCAAGTTTCCTCACGCAGACGACAAGGTGCCTCACGGTGAGGACAAGGTACCTCACACTGAGGATAAGGTACGCCACACTGAGGACAAGGTTCGTCACGCTGGGGACAAGGTACCTCACACTGAGCACAAGGTTCCTCAAACTGAGGACAAGGTACCTCACCCTGAGGACAAGGTACCTCACACTGAGGACAAGGTTCCTCATGGTGAGGACAAGGTTCCTCAAGCTGAGGACAAGGTACCTCACACTGAGGACAAGGTTCCTCACGCTGAGGACAAGGTTCCTCACGCTGAGGACAAGGTACCTCTCACTGAGCACAAGGTTCCGCAAACTGAGGACAAGGTACCTAACCCTGAGGACAAGGTACCTCACCCTCAGGACAAGGTTCGTCACGCTGAGGACAAGGTTCCTCACGCTGAGGACAAAGCTGCTCACGCTGAGGACATGGTTGCTCATGCAGAGGACAAGGTTCCTCACGCTGAGGACAAGGTACGTCACACTGAGGACTAGATTCCCCACGCTGAGGACAAGGTACCTCACAGGGAGGACAAGGTACCTCCCACTGAGGACAAGGTTCCTCACGCTGAGAACAAGGTTCCTCAAAATGAGGACAAAGTTCCTCACACTAAGGACAAGGTACATCACACCGAGGACAAGGTTCCTCTCTCTGAGGACAAGGTTCCTCACGCTGAGGACAAAGTTTCTCACGATGAGAACGAGGTTCCTCACGTGGAGTAAAAGGTTCCTAACGCTGAGTACAAGGTACCTCACGCTGAGGACAAGGCATCTCACGCTGAAGACAAGGTTCCTCACGCGGAGGACAAGTTTTCTCACGCTGAGGACAAGGCACGTCTCACTAAGGACAAGGTTCCTCAAGCTGAGGACAAGGTGCCTCACCCTGAGGACAAGGATCTTCAAGCTGAGAACAAGGTACCTCACACTGAGGACAAGGTA